TTTTCTTCTTCTTCTTCTTCTTCTTCTTCTTCTTCTTCTTCTTCTTCTTCTTCTTCTTCTTGCTTTTCTTCTTCTTTTCTTTCTCCTGAGCAGAAACGGACGGGACCAACGCCAAATGAACCGTTTTTGCCCGAGGATCACGAACATCCACTCCTTTTTTTTCAATTTTGCCTTGAACTTCACTAATTGAAGATTTTAGGATCGGGAAAACCCTAGGATCCGAATTTGGGGGTTTCTTCAAATTGGCTTCAACTTTGCAATTGATGGTTCCTGGTGGGGTTGCGCGACGTCAGAGGTGGCGGAGGTGGCCGGAATTGAGGAAAAACCGCTGGAAACCGCTGGCCCGGGTCGCGGCGGTGATCTGGTGATTCCGGTAACCAAATCGGCTGATTCCGGTAACCAAATAGATTCAGATTTTGAGCCGTCAGGTTTGGAGGAAAGGGTAAAAGCCAATTTTGAGCTGTTTTCAGATTTTGAGCTGGGCTGTTTTTCGTGTTCAGGTGGAAAGGCAAAAGGGGAGAAAGGGGTATTTTTGGTAATCTAAGTGCTTAGTCAACTCCCACTAAAAATGACAATAAGTCAAAACGTAAACTTTAATACCGGACGAGGGAGTATTTATTTTTGTCACCCATATAATAAAATATCATATAGTTATATCGACCCCCTTCTTTTGATAACAAGATGGGTGTCATATTATGTCAATAATCACCTACAGTGATCCGTTCGAATAATTAATGGTTTCTACCTCTCACCCTCTACCCCCTCTCCCACCCAAAGAGGTAGGAACTCTAAATTTTAACCACTATTCTTTCATTATTTCACAACTTTTTTTATATCATTTCAATACTTTTCTTAAGTTTGGCAAAGTCAAAGTGACAAATTCATTTTAAGAGGACGGAGAATATTGCTTATTTGAGACATTTACTTTTTTGTACATACTTAAAGCATTCATATTACAATTTGATTTTTTTTACTAAAAGAATCTTTTTATTCTGTCTCAAGTTAAAAACACTCGATCCGTGAAGTAATAAAAAATAAATTTTAAAAATGAAATTGTAAAAAAATGCATTCTGTCTTCTCTTATGTTGTACTGTCCAACAATAAATTTCTCAATCTGAGCTATTTGTATAAATTTTTTAAATATGAAGTAAATTTTATGTTGTATACTCGCTCTATCCAACAATAATTTCTTTTTTGAATAACATGCAAAATCTCATCTTTTTAAAATTACTTTATTTACAAATTAGTCTACCATAAAAAGTGCAAATTACATTATTCAAAATTATGTCAAAAGTTGAACAAAATAAGTTGTGACACGAACATTTTATCTTATTAAATGATTGATGAAATTATGCAAACGAACATAAGTTATCGAGAGGACGCAATAGTAACTGGAAAGTTTACTGTTGGATAGTATAAGTATTAAAGAAAAAATATTTTTAAGCATATCATGCACTATTATGGTTTGAATACAGTTTAAATCCTGACAACTGCGCTAAAATCTACAAAGTAAAAGTATCTCGATAACTCTATTTGTTTACTCCCTCCGTCCCAATTTGTAGTGCTTGTTTCGGTTTACGATTTTTGACTGAAATTATTTTCAAATCATTTTATATGACAAATGGTATAAAATTAAAAAAATAAAAATTACATATTAAAATACTACATCAAAAGATCTATAAAACTAGTAGTGACAATAGTATTTTATTTTATCAAATTACTAACGAAAATAGACAATGAAAGTGAATGAAGTTTGACCTTGTGGATAGTGAACATGCATTATAAATTGGGACAGATGAAGTACATGTTATTAATCGTGTCATAAAATAAAATATTCTTGTCTCCTCTACCGTACGAGTAAAACTTTTGATCTAATTTTTAAATGTATAATTTTTTAATACAATTTGTAAGTAGATTTTTTTAAGTTACGGGATTTTACATGTGGATCTAAAGTGATATTTCATTTTGAAACATAGGGGTATCAAAATTACACATTTTTAAGACATGCTTTTTTTTGTCTTTGAAAAGTTTAATGAGATAGAAAAAGTATACAGAGTATTACCTCCGTTTTCTTGAGTATTTATTCAGTTTTGACTTTTTTTGGTCAACTATTTTCAAAATTTGACCTATAATTAAATAAAATATGTATTGTATATTAGTTAGATAAAATAATAATTGAAAAATATTTGATATAATAAATCTAAAAAAACATTTTTGTATCAATATCTAGTATCATTTTTATTTAACTTGAGGTCAAAGTTTACCAATTTTGACCAAAAAATCAAAAGTGAACAAATACTCAAAGACTGAGGGAGTATACACAAGATCTCTACATGTACAAAAGATAGGACTCTACTTTGTACGGAGTAAATTGAAATCAAATACTGGGTACTATTTTCTTTTTCTATGTAACTATCCATCCGATTCCTTTATTGCTATAATTACAATATAGCATTTGTTCATGTTTTCAAAATCTAGTGATACACAGTGAGTCAATGCTTTTACTTCGATTGAGACTCGAACATGGGTAAGCTTCTATGAATCTTAGAGGATATGCTTCTTACCACTCAAGCCAAGAGAAAAGTTCTCCGTCCGAGTCTTGATAGAGGAGGTTTGTCCTTCAAAAAAAGAAAAAGAAAAAATATGATAAAATCAATTGCCTTATCATTTATATACGCTTTAATTGTAAAAAAATTGTAACACGAAAAAGGTTTATATAATAAAAAACTTGAAATTCTTTTTGTAACTCAAATATAATATACTTAAGGGGTGCTGCTCTGGGTCATGGCCGAAGAGTAAAGCAAAGATGTCCAGAGTGACATTCTTGCACTTGAAGCGTGGGCATGTAAATTTCAAAGAGTTTTTCATCTACTTTAAAGCCAAGAAAGACATATATATCCCACTAAATCCTCCATTTCTAAGTCATAAACTCTCTAATCACTTCATGTTTATAAATCTAATTACCATCGGCTTGTCCGGATTTACGTAACAAACCAAGTAACAAAAATAAAGAAAGAAACAACTGCATCCCCCAAATGGCGGAGACACAGATTCTTATTGTGTTCGTTCTTGTTTTCGTGGTGGCAGCAGTTGGCCGTGCTGCCGAGAAGTTGTACGATAGGGGAGATGAGTTCAAGGAAAGGTGGGAGATTGAAGAAGATGATGGAGCGGAGCTGTTAGACCTCCCATCACTCACAAATGGTCGCGGGAACAAAATTCTTGTCAATGTGGATAGCTTTGGCGCTGTTGGTGATGGAGTTTCTGATGATACCAAGGTAACGATTCATTTGAAATATGGCCCTATTCGGAACAACGTTATTAATAAGCGTTAGCATTTTTGGATAACTTTTTGATAGTGCTGATTAACTTTGAAAACACTAAAATTTAAAAATGTCATTAAATAACTTTTTCAAAGCGGTAAAGCTGTTGTTACAGAGCCAATATATTCCCAATGCAATTGGATTCTAGTTGTTCACTTTTATTTTTGTTTTTTCACCGTATGCAAAGTTCTTGTCGAATAAGGAGAATGACCAAAAATACCCCTGAAGTGGATACTAGGCTTGTAACCATCAAAACAGAGGAAAAGCCATCTTCAAGGGCAATTTTGACATTTCACACCGTCTTTAAACTTGAGATGTCTAGTTGCAGCTGCTATTGTAAATGAGCTACCCCAAAAAACAGTATGGCTTTATGAAAAAATTACCAGGCCTTTGCAGATGCATGGACGCAGGCGTGTTCTGCAGAAAGATCAGTCCTCCTGGTTCCGTCAAAGCGCAGTTACCTTGTCAGTGCCACACGATTCAAAGGTCCTTGTGCAAGGAACTTGATAGTCCAGGTTGCACCCAAAATCCTCCAGTTTCATTTTCCCCACATTATCCAGTAATTAAGTGTCATCTTGTGTAATGAGATCCTGGACAACAGATTGAAGGAACAATTGTGGCGCCGGATGATCCAGAAAATTGGGATCCGAAAAACCCGCGAGTTTGGCTTGTCTTCTCCAACCTGACATCCGTCTCATTCCAAGGAGGAGGAGTTCTCGATGGCTCTGGGAAAAACTGGTGGGATGCCTCCTGCAAAAAGAACAAATCCAATGTAATTTTTCAAATATACAGAAACTTATATGTTTAGTGGGTGTTTCTCTGCGCTTATAAGTTGGTCAAAACTGCTTCTAAGCAGTTTTAACTTATAAGTCAGTTGATGACATGTTTCTCTGTGCTTATAATAAGCTGCTTATAAGCCGGAAAAAATAAGGTTTACCTGCTTATTTTTAATCCAATTTTTATGTTTCTTAATTTGATAAGATTATTTACAAAACTATCTTTCACCATTTATTAATATTCCCAAATGACTTATCTATCATTTAAGTCATTTTACTTCCAAGAAAGAATATTTGTCTTAAAAGCAGCTTATAAATTTAAAAATTTTTATCAGCAACAAGGCAATAAAGACAAGCACAGAGAAACACCCCTTTAATTTAGAGTAAATAATCGGTGTTCTTTAATTTTAATAAGTTTTTCTCTCCCTTTCTCAACAGCCTTGCAAAGGAGCACCAACTGTAAGAATACGATTGATCCCTGAACTCATTGAGTTTTTCATAGCATCATTTTAAGATTTTCTTTTCACCATTAAAAGATTTCGATGAACTTAAGTTGAAATTTTAATTGTAGGCTTTGAGTATAGATCAAAGTTCTGGCATAAAGGTAAAGGGTCTTACAATTCAGAACAGCCAACAGATGCACTTCACCGTATCTCGATCAGAATCTGTGGTTGTCACCGGTGTAAAAATTTCTTCCCCGGAAGATAGTCCGAATACCGATGGAATTCATATAACTGAATCGAAAAATATTGTCCTCCAGAGCTGCAAAATAGGAACAGGTCCACAAAATTACTTCTAAAACGAGACGTGTTGCATGCATGTTATGAAGAAAACTTTGAACAGAATCATTTAATTATCTTCTAATTACCGAGTTTTTTTCTATATTAACTAGGTGATGATTGTATCTCAATTGTCAATGCCAGCTCAAATATCATGATGAAGAAAATCTATTGTGGACCTGGCCATGGAATCAGGTGTGAATGCAATCAAACATTTAATTTCAGTGTTTTTAGCAGTGTAAATGCAATCACATGTCAATATTTGTAAGGACCTTTGCAGAAACTGTATCATATTCCCTCCGTCCCAAAATTAGATAACACTTTGCTATTTATAGGTCAAACTATTTCTTCTTTCCTCGGATATTTTAAAGATATTTCCAATTGTCATGTGATAGAATAAAATAGCCCTGTCACCTCTTACTTTATACTCATCCAAAAAACACTTTACACACTTTCCCTTTTTGAATGACCTAAAAACACTTGCCATTTTTTTTTAGTAATGAACATGTGATTTGTGACTCACAAGATCTTTCTTTCATATAAACAAATTCTAATCATAAACTTTTCACTTTTCAACACTTATCTTAAACTCCGTAAAAGACAAACTGAGTAAAGTGTTTTGCGGACGAAAGGAGTAGAACTTTTGATTTAGTTTTTTAATATAAAAGCTGTTTTTTTATTTTACACCGATTTCAAATAAATTAAATTGAAACTAACTTTAGTCAAGCGCCGTAAACCGTAAGCATAACTTTTTTTTGGGATGAAGGGAGTAAAATATGAGTTGAATTTAACAAATTCCAGTGCACCAAAGGGTGGCATAATTTATGCACTACTTGTGATAAGAGTTTTATCTCATGGTATGGATTTCCGTTTGACAGCATTGGAAGCCTTGGGAAGGACAATTCTGTTGGAATAGTAACAAAGGTGGCATTGGATAATGCCCTCCTTCGAGAAACTACCAATGGCCTTCGAATTAAAACATGGCAGGCATTGATTTTCTTCTATTCATAGATTCTATTTCATTTGAAACGAATGTTCAACTCCTTCCTATCCAGTAACAAGAAAAAACTATAGACAAGACACAGCTTAAACAAAACAATATCATTATCAGCACCTTAATCACAACTAGTTTGGGTCAGTGGGCATTAAATCTATAGTTCTAATTAATTGTCTACAATTACTTAAGACTATAATTTCAGACAAAAAAAGCAGAGGGAATGAATTATGCCAGATGCCCTTCTTGTCTTCTTAAGAAGGAACAAGGAGAAGAAAATTCTAAAACCATTGTCTCCATGGATTATTTCCATTCGCATGGAAAATACATGAGACGGCAAAGAGTTGAGATATTTGCTATTGTCATGTCCATTATATGATTGATATTGCAAAACACCCAAAGATGTATGTGAAAATGATGTTTGTTTCCATTAAAATTTGCTGAGAACAAAAGTGTTCCATTATGTCTTATGGCAGGGAGGGTCTGGTTATGTCCACACAATACGTTTCCAAAACGTGATGATGGATGATGTTTCCAACCCCATCATCATTGACCAGTTTTATTGTGATTCTCCGACAACATGCCAAAACCAGGTATACTTCAGACTAAAGCATTTGAAGCAATCATAAAGAGAAGTATAATAGTATGCATACTTAATAATAACATCTATTTTTATGTGGAAGACATCTGCAGTGGAAATAAGTAAAATTGTTTACCAGAACATCAGTGGAATTTCAAAGAGTAAAAATGCAATGAAATTTGCATGTAGCGACAGTGTACCTTGTAGTAACATTGTGTTAAACAACATTAACCTGGAGACCAGAGATGGCACTGCTGAGGTCTACTGCAACTCTGTCACAGGAATTGGCTATGGATATGTACATCCTTCCGCTGAATGCATCAACTTGTCTATGAAGAAAATTAAGCAGGTAACAGAAGCTGAGCTGGCTGAAAAGAATAAAACAAATAACCTTATCCATACTGAGTTATAGCTTCTGAGAAGATATTGTCTGGACCAAACATCTTGTAAGCATATGACTATTTGTTTTTTAGTTTAGCATCGTTTATTTGAATAGTCTTGGATTTTGGGATGCTAAAATTATTTACATATTATGTTTCTTTACAAATTTCAGTTTGTTGTTGTTGTTGTTCATACAATGTGGTCTAGTGGTGTGGATGAATTTCAAATTTTGACTCATGTATGCAGTGATTAAGCTTGTGGGATTCTATTGTGTATGTTGTTTGTTGTAAGCTTTGATTAAGTTCCCCTTTTAACTTTGTCATTCAAACAGTGAATTAGTTTGAAGCAGATTTCAGTTTATATTGGTTTAAGAATGCAAAGGCTTTTAATATTGTTCGTTTTATTTTTCTATCTTCGCAAATACTCCTTCCTCCATTTTAACTTTGCGCATACCTTTCACGCTTGGAGATTGTAGCTTTGTTGAGAGGGTATCAAGGTAAAAACCTCCTGAGCATAGTCCAGGATATATGTAAACGGTGCCCATGAAATTATAGGGCACCCAAACGTTTTTAATTACATATTCATCTCTTCATCTCATTACTCTGAAGCTATGAGAATTCAACTATCCATTTAACATCTAATAAAAGTTTTTAAACTTTCAAAGTTAGTAAAAGTAATTAAAAAAATCAAAAACAATGATGAATAAATGGGTATGGTTTGGCTGTTCGGGTAGGGGATATCCTAAGGATAGTACACAAATCTAATACAGGTAGCTCATCCTGACTAAACCAAATAAGGTACACAAACTCTATCTAAACGGGTTCTGAGCCTTGGGTGTACAGTTATAAATCACACATTTGCATCCTTCAGTAATGATCTGGCTAATTAAATTTCATTTGAAAATAGTCTTTAACTTAGTTGGCAACAAATTGGGATCATACCATAGTCGGTTAAAAGAGACATATATCCTCTTCCATTTTTCTCTTTTTTCATTCATGTACTAGGGCTCTACTTCTAGTCTTCCACTTGTTTGAGATGCATTTAAAATGCCTTTGGGAATTCTTCCACATTGCTGAAAACAGAGGGGAATATAACAAATTTACAAGCCCATTTTACATAATAAGGTAAGGATTGGCTTGACATAAAAATATTGGATGAAAACACAATAAACTGATCAATAATATGTAAAAATGAAAATTAAGTTATGGTGCATTGAATTTGTTAACTTACCTTAGTCTCTCACGAATTCAAGAATAAAATCATGTTAACCTCTCATTCCCGTGGAATACATTCTACAGTCTCAAATCACCAAATATAATGTCACACAGCCTTTCTTCCTTCGTAAGCTTCCTGTTAGTGTATTTGGCTTCAAAGATTTTCTTTTCCTTCCTGTAAGATTCTAGATCACTGGCTCTTCCATTTTCTTCAAGGCCATTTAATACAACAGAGTAAGTTCCTAAAGAAACATGCACCCTTTGATCTTTCATCTTTTCAAACATTTCAAGTCCTTTGTCACAATTTGTAGACAAGAAGTAAGCTCTGATTAGCCCAGTGTGAACAATAGTGCTTTTTTTCTCTTCGAAAGGTAGCAAGCAAAATACCTTCTCAGCATAAACATGGCCATTTGAACAGCCAAGCCTTTGTATTAAAAGAGCACTAAGTTGTGAACCCAAGGTTAATCCCGCGCCTAGCATTGCTTCAACAATCTCAACTACCCTCTGAAAAGAATTTGTTCTGACAAGTACACCCATTAAAGTTAGATAAGTGGTTCTGTCAATGTTTATGCCAAGCTTTTTGCATAAATCAAATGCTAATAAAGCCCCATTTTGCCTTCCACGGTTACAATTTGCCTCAATAATACTCGAGATGATTCCAGAATCTAACGCAGAGCTTGTCCCCATCAAATCAGCTATCAAGTGGTCAATGGCAATCAGATTTTGCTTATTCAACAGATACATAACAAGTTTATCTTCTAAACTGAATTCATTATTCTTAATAGTGGAATGAGATTCATGTGTCTGCACTTGATTGCATTGAAATGATGAAATGTGACGATTAACCTGCTTGAGAAGCACACTGCTCTCCCCAGATATATTCAGTGCTTCAAGAGCCTCCTGATACACTGAGTAGCGAAGAACAAGAAAGTTCTCTTTCATGTACTCAAGAATTTTCATTATTGTCCCTGTTTCCTTCGCTTTGCAACATTTTTCAATTAAAATATTACATGTAGCTTTGTCTGGTTTTACCCCTGCATCTTGCATTTTATAAAATATCTCCATAACTTTACCAAACTTTCCTGAAAGTGGCAAAATAGGAAGAAAATAGCCATGTTAACCAAGTGTAGATGATACGATACAGCACCATAAAGTGTTTCTACAATTGAAAACCAAGCTCAGTCCTCTAAATCTATGAAGATAAGTGATCGGATCTGTAAATGAACCAAAGTTCTTGTGAACCATGGATAAGTTTCTAAACAAAACTCAAACTATCTATAGTTTGGTTTGACTTAATTTAACAAAGCAGAAAATTTTAAGCAGGGCTAAGTATCAACAAGCAGTCATTGTTTTGGCTAGCGAAAGAAGAACTCTCGCCTGTTTTGGCTAAATGCTCCATAAGAACTGTGTATGTGTGGCAATTGGGAGAACAACCAAATCGAAGCATCTCTTTGTACACCTTAGCACCCTCCTTAACAAGGTTGTGGTCAAACAAAACCTTCATGTAAGCCGTGTAGGAAACCACGGTAGGAGAGCGCCCTTTCGCTCTCATCTCCCGCCAACACTTCTTCGCCCCTTCAATGTCCCCGCTGTTGGAAAGCCAATGCAGAACGGAGGTATACGTTACCACGTCAATCTTGACACCTTTCTCTTTCATTTGGTTCAAAACGTACATCATCGACGGAATCCTCCCAGCTTCCCCAAACATATCCAGCATGGTCGTATACGTGTACTGGTCATGCTTAAACCCTCTAATCTTAGCTGCCCAGTTGAAAAACAGCCAAGCCTTCTCCAATGGCGGATGAGTCTTGAGAACCTGATTGACTGTATATGAATCCCATTTCAAGGAAAGCCCTTCCAGAAGCCCTAGCCCAGATTCCCAAGTTGAGTACCTCAATATATTTGATATCTTAGCAACCAAATCCCTCATGTAAACACTCGCCGTCTCTGATGATTTCTCGGCATGTTTCTTGAACGACTTCCCAGATCGACTCGGGTTTCGATTAATTCGCCTGTCCGGTCTCCTCTGGTTCGAATTTCGAAGAGAGTGCAAGTAATCCGAGAAAATCTTCCTGGGCCCTGAAATGGTGCTGCTTGATGATGAAATGCGCACAAGAATCGGAAGCTTCTCCATGAATGGGGTCATGGGAAGGTAACATACAGAAATCGCCAAGAAAATCACGGGAAACGGCGGATGGCGACTTTGATATCTTTCTGCAAAATTATTGGAAGAATCAAGAGAGGAAGTTACTACTTCAGCTCCTATTTCAAAAACGATAGCCCCGTCTGGCCCCCCTCAGAACCTAAATTAAGCTCATTTCTAAACTTAGTCTTTTGTCAAACTTCTGAATAGGCAAATGCTGAACGAGTAAGAGGTCTGAACCATTAAGTGCTGAACCAGTAAGAGGTCTGAACCATTAAAAGCTAGTATATTGCTTAACTATTCAGAGGCAAATGTCTGATCAATTCAGATAAGAAGTCTTAACCATTCAGACTCTGTATAATACTTAACCATTCAGAGACAAATCTCTTAACCATTCAGACATCTGAATCATTAAGAGGCTGAAACAAACAGTCTGAACCATTAAGTGCTGAACCATTCAGACATCTGAACCATTAAGAGGCTGAAACAAACAGCCCCTTAGACCACAGGCCGTGGTCTCAGTAGTTGCTCCGTGATGGCCAGTGGCTCCATGTAGACATCCACGGCCTGGAACCCAGCCCATTAGGCCACGAGGTGTGCCTTCATAGTCGCTCGACCGAGGGAGGATTTATAGATCATCAAATTCCCACAAAATGCAATGAAAATTGGGTCCATGAAAATGATCGAGACCTCCCAAACAAGAACGCTCCTTGCCTGTATGGAGTTTGGAATCGAAAGACAATAGTTCAGTGAATTGTATCTTTATTTTTTTTTGTTAGTTGACCTAAGCCGCACCCATACTACTGGGGTGGAGCTCGGCCTCCGAACCATACGTGTGACGAGTTTTTACCTCATACAGCTCGAGCCGAAGACCAGGAGAAGATGGAGGAACCTAACAGCTGTCGGTCGAGGCATTCTTACCAAACAAATGCTGTAACTTAGAAAGAGCACCACTTAGTTGTTCGGCCATTCATTGGGTTTGTCCTCCTCTCCCGTTGGTCGAGTGACTTCGTACCTCTTTCAAATGAGTTAAACATAGTTCAACGAATTCTCTAGAGACTCCGTACCTCTTTCAAATCACTTTCACTATGTTTTGTTCATTTGAAACGAAATGAGTTGTACATAGTTCAACGAATTCTCTAGAAACTTCGTACCTCTTTCAAATGAGTTGAACATAGTTCAACGAATTTTCTAAACCTTTTTTTTCTCTTCGTCAATTCACTGTCACGTTAACTTCATCTTTCCCTTTCTCTTCCTTTTCCAGAGAAATGTCTTCCCATTTTTCCTTTCAATTTTCACTATTATATTTTAATACTTATTATAATTTAAATAATAAAACTAAAAACATAAAAACAATAAAAGTTTTGAATACTAAAACTAAAACATTTAAATAAAATTAAAACTATTACTAAAGTTCATACTTTAAATAATTGAGACACACTAAAGATATGTTTCCTCCGTCTCCGAGTGTTTGTCTACTTTTGATTTTTTTTGGTTAAAATTGGTAAACTTTGACTACAAATTAAATAAAATGATATTCGATATTGATACAAAAATAATTTTATTAAATTTATGTTATAAAATATTTTCAAAATATTATTAAACAAAATGATATTCGACATTTATTTACACCCAAGGGTGAAACCCCCACCCTAGGGGTCACCCACCTTGTATCCTCAGAACTGGTGGGGGAGGTAAATCGCGACATGTGTCTCTACTAGTCATGGTCCAAGACCTTGCATGCTAATCTCACCTTCGAGGGAGTCGAATCCACAAATTGTGCTGAGATTTGAGTTTCCCATACTGCAGACTACCAGCTTGATAAGCCTTAAACCACTCAATGTACAATTGTATTATGTTGGAAACAATCCCTTTATTATAACTGGAAAATTACTCAAAACCAATTACAATAAACTCTCATATGTTTCTCATATCATAACTCAAGCTTGGCTAAGATATATATAGAGCTAAGTAAACCTATAACCCATAATTTTATTCCTACTAGAACTAGAACATCTCGGGTAATCCTAATCCTACTCGATAATTAGTCAACAATCACCCCCCTAATTTTCGAGTTGGATTCCGGGTGATCTTCAACTCCAAGCATGTCTTCTTTATCTTGATTCTCTCGAGGCTCTTCATGATCCCTTGCAGCGTTCTCCAGGCTCCACTTAGCTTGAACAAACACTTGCTCCTTGCGATCATTACTCTTCCTTTCTTGGGTTAGAATCCTTTTCTTGACATCTCCTTTAAACTCTTGAACATTCTTCTTTGGACTTTGACTTTTGGGTTTCTCCATTAAACTTGGATCTTCGAGAAGATTCTGACTCGTACGTCGCGTACCTTCTTTCAGTTGATCAACTCTTTGTAGATCCCTACCCACAAAATTATTCATTCCAATCATGCTAACTTGTGTACTCGGACTTGCTATCTTGAGATTGATATTGTACAAACGATTCTTAGTCCTCGTCCCCTTCATCATAAGCTTCCCCGTGTAATCATGAATAGTTAGCAAATTGCACTTCATGTGAATGTCGCATCCACCTTCCGTTGCTTGACCAAGGGTTATGATGTTGCTTTGTAGGCTGGGTATGTAGTACACATCGGTCAACAGGCGCTTCTCCCCTGTTTTCCCTTCAAGTAATATAGATCTCTTTCTTCGTATGTCAATACAAGATCCATCTCCAAACTTCACCTTTCCCTTGACACGTTCATTAAGTTCAAAGAAGTAAGCTTGCTTACCCGTCATGTGATTCGATGCTCCGTTGTCGAGATACCAAATGTCTTTCTCCTTTGGTTCAACCTCGAAACGCTTTGGAATCACCCCTTCTTCATTTAAAAAGTCATTCTCTTGATCACATCTCACCATGAACAAAGATGGATCCAGAACATCAATTTCAGCTAAATTAGCTTCCTCTTATTTCTTCGTACGCTCCGGGCACATTGATGCACCAATTGGACGGCGACTGTTCTAGCGCTGCTTGCGGACGGCGACGGTACCCAACAACCTGATGCTCTTGCCCCAATCTGGTCAGTGTTGCTCCCGGTGGCTCTGCAAGTGAAGACGACAGCGACGGCAGCTCCTTCTGCGCGTGGCTATCGGCGGCGGATGACTCCGCTGCTTACGGACTTTGGCCGCGCTTCAAGAAGATGATGGCGCAGATGGATCTTTCTTAAAGCTCCAATCGAGAACAGTAGCTTTTCCCCTTCTTTTTTTCCTCTGTCGCACGTTCGATTAGGATTTTTTTTTGATTTGTGCTCCGATACCAATTGTTGGAAACAATCTCTTTATTATAACTGGAAAATTACTCAAAACCAATTACAATAAACTCTCATATGTTTCTCATATCATAACCCAAGCTTGGCTAAGATATATATATATAGAGAGAGAGAGAGAGAGAGCTAATTAAACCTATAACCCATAATTCTATTCCTACTAGAACTAGAACATCTCGGGTAATCCTAATCCTACTCGATAATTAGTCAACATATTAATGGCTGAACGAGCTGCGTTTATCTATGTGAATATCATTGGCAAAGTTGGAGGCAAGCTTTAGCTTGCTTGTCATACCCCGAAGGTGAAAAAAGTTGAGAACAAAGCGACGAATATGTGTGTCTAGACTCTCTGCATTGAGACTTACTTCAAACTTGTTCATTACCTTCCTTGTTTTGTCTGTCCTTGTCATATCATGCTTGAAGTCATGGACTCCTCACGTAACTATTGGCAAGGACAAGGCTTCGTTGTCCTAACATATGCCTCGTGGATTACCCGATTCTCACTAGTACTATTGAACATACTAGCTAGGTGCACAGCTTAGTATGAACAATATATTTTGATAATGAAAAATGCTTGATTGTCAAGAAGCGAAGAAAGATACTAACTTCAACTTGAAAGAGCTACTACAAAGTATCCGAGCCTATGATGATGTAAGTTTATTCTCAGATCAAGTATCAAGACCAAAGACTTTGATGAATTTATGTGTTCCGCATCTTTTAGGTCTTATTACAATTTATGTTAAGGAATATAACATTGGAAATGACCCTAACACTATCCTTGTTAACCTTTATTGACTCAAAACATTATATTGAGGATGTAACTTGTTTTTAAAGTTAAAAGTGATTATTATATCGCAAATAATTGAATACTACATTTAGTATTCAATTGCTTGTAATTGTTGGAAAAAATTATTTTAGCTAGTATAGCTATTTGTATTCAAATAAAATCTCTAGTACTTGAATACCTAAGATCCTTAAATACTTTAGAATTTTCTGCAAGACCTTTGTATTTAAATAACACATAAGTATTCTTGTAATACCCCGTATCAAGATGGGAATGGAAAAAGGGATTGATAGTACTACTCATACCAACAAGGTGCATCTTCTTTTCGATAGCTCATCACCTAGAAACTCCAAAGTTAAGGGTGCTTGACCTGGAGTAATTTTAAGATGGGTGACCCCCTTGGGAAATTCCTTGGGCACACACGAGTGAGGACAAAGTGCGCGGAAAAGACTTGTGTTGGTTTGTGGGGGGCAGTCTACAATCCTATGAACGGACACTTACGGCTAGGGTGGGGGCCGAGGTGTTACAAATGGTATCAGAGCACCCTTGCGACCGTGACGGGCCATAAGAGCTTAGTTCACCTAGCGGGGAAGATCTATGGGTTCAAAAAAAAGGATGCAACGAGGACGTTGCATTCCTAAGTGGGGGTGAATGTAATACCCCGTATCAAGATGGGAATGAGAAAAGCTCAAAAGGATTGATAGTACTACTCATACCAACAAGGTGAATCTTCTTTTTGAGAGCTCATCACCTAGAAACTCCAAAGTTAAGCGTGCTTGACCTGGAGCAATTTTAGGATTGGTGACCCCCCTGGGAAATTCCATGGGCGCGCACGAGTGAGGACATAGTGCGCGGAAAAGACTTGTGTTGGTTTGTGGGGGCCAGTCTACAATCCTATTAGCGGACACTTACGGCTAGGGTGGGGGCCGGGGTGTTACAATTCGAATATCTAAGGATACAAATATCAATTGGAATAGTTATAGACTATGAAAAGATTGAAAAAATGAGTGGCTATAGATGGTACTTCTATAATTTTGTAATAGAACCAAAGGGGCAAAGGAGAATATCATAGATTCTCTAACGTAGAAGAGACTAATGCAGGAAAATGAAAGTTTCAAAATAGTATTTGCACGTAGCATTAATAGTTTAGATAATTTTTAGTGATTCCAATTTTAAAATGATAAACTAAATGCTTAACTTCATGTCAAATCACTCTATTCTTAAAAGCAGCAGAATTTTGCCCCCTTGCTTTTCCCGCCCAAAGCCATCCCTTTGCATACGGTATAATGATACCATTTTATTACATTCTATAATGTGTTGCTATTAATAATAGGGTTTTATAAAAGTAAAGCATTGATTACCTCAAATTCCTCAATGATACGGTTTAATTATTTTAAACAAGGAAATGAACTTTATAATTTTGAAGGTTATCAATATATTTAGCGAAAAAGGTCCATTCCAAAATACTCCGTATCATTGAGGATAAATAATTTAGATTTAGTGTTACATGCCTTGGTAAAAAATAATTAATAATTTGTATCGAAAAAAATGTAAATAACTAATAATTTGTAACGAAAAAAAGTATTAATTATTTGGAAACACATTTATACAACATTGTAATTTGTAAGATTATTCTAGACAGTACAATAATTAAAAAATACGTTATTCTTAAGAAAGGAAACAAAAGAAAGGTATTGATTTGGAGGAAAAAGGGAAACAAAAGACTTTCCTTTGATCATTAAGTCTTACGTAACTTTCCTTTGTGCTACCAATTACGTAGTATACTTTTTTGATCCAGAAGGTTTTCTTTGATAATTAATTCGTATAATAATTTGTGCTACCAATTATACTTTTTCGTTTCCTTTTAAGAAACTACCCATTCGTTTCCTTTTACGAGAATAATATTTTCGTATAAATTGTGATCCCATTTTCATCGATTCAACCCAATTCTAAAGACATAAGGAACGCTATATTCTTCTTGAGTTCTAAAACAAACCGTATATTACAATGCGTGTTTGGTCAACTTTGGACAAAATTGATGATGGTTTGGGACCGTTTATGGTAATGGTGCGAGCCGTAAGAGTTTATCGAACTGCTGCGCATGATCGCACACCGGAATCTCTTGATGTCATCTTTCATGATCAACAGGTTTTTTAGAATTTTTAAAAATCGTTGTTATTTATTAAACAAATTGTTTTTATAATAAAAATAACTATTTCTTGATTTACAGGGAAACCAGATCCATGCACAGATGAAAGATGAGAATATCAAAATCTTCGAAAAGGAAATTGAAGAAAATCAAGTTTATGGTTTAACTCGGTTCAAAGTTCAGCGCAACTTTCAGAACACTAAGACAACCTCCCATCCTTTTATGATGGTATTTTGTGTAAAAACCAAAATTCAAAAATTGTCATCAGACTTTTTTCCAAATTTTCGATACTAATTCCTAGCATTCGATGATATCAAGTTACTACCTTGCGTGGACCCCGTATTGTTGATTGGTGAGTAAATTATATAATTTTTATATCAAAAAATTTTATATGTCGATTATACATTACTTTAAATAAAAATATTATATACTATTATTTTAATCACAGATGTTATTGGAAAAGTTGTTAGTCGTACCATGCCCGAAGAACGCATGGTTAAAGGTGCCCCTGAGAGGATGATGGAGGTTGTATTGGAAGACCATAGGATACATGACATAAATTTATCATAATCCCAAATGGCCAGAAATTACACGATTTCTAGAGAAAAGAACCCTAAGGCCAGAAGACCGTCCAGATATATGCCGCAGGGTGTTTCATATGAAATTAAAGGAACTCATAAAAGAACTGCATAGAAAAAAGCTATTTGGTATAGTTCGAGCA